GCCGCCCCGACATCCATTCTGAGTACGAGACATAATCCGATTCACATTAATATGCCGGGTGATTCTCATACTCAGAATAGATGTCAGTGTCTTATAGATGGTAGGTAGACACGTAATGGGGCGGTACTTACTCGGGTCTGTGGTAACCTGATCTTTAGGAACCAAATGAGTGACCCCAGTAGTAAAGAGGCTCGGGAGCGACCTCTGATCGAGAGCCTCTTGGAACTGCCGGGCGAGCACAGCATGACACACCACGAACCCCTTCAGCCAGTAGTGATGCAGCCCGTCGAGTCCCGGACTTTTCCAGTTCGGGGCTCTACGGACTGCCTCGGATACGTCGTCGGGTGTTATGACGACGTGTTATTATTGTTATTATTATATATATATATATATATATATATATATATATATATATATTGTTATTATTATATATATAAAAGAAATATGTTGGTTAAATCTTAAATTAAATTAATTAATTACTTCTACGGAACCTTGGCAGAAAGTTAACGAGTTTTGACATTATCCATAAAAAAATCTTTAAACATGACGGGTGGCCTCATAATGACTCAGCAAATTTTTGAGTAGACTATTTATTATATAGAATTATAGTATATGATTTTAATTGTAGTAGAGTCACGCAGTAGCTACGTCTCTTGCAAAATTGGGCAGGGCAATCCGAGGAAGTATCATAGCCTCACAGAACATTGGAAGGAAGTGGAAATATTATAATTTCACCTTTCTTCTGTTGAGTATGGTAGCCAGAGTAAGGCATCTGCAAATCCTCAAGTATTGGAGATTTATATATAAGAGACAATTTTATCTATGTTTGTGTAGTATTTTAACTTTTAATTATTATAATGAGCTTTTATACTATAAATATAAAATTTATATTGCTTATCTCAGAACTTAATAATAGATGGCTTAAAAAATGCTTGCCATTGCTTAAAAAGCAAAAAAAGCAAAGCAGATAAAATATGTAGAAATTTCGATTGTCGTGAGCATGGCAATTAGCCGTCTGGGCGCGATTCGGGAAGACGTGGGTTTGTTTCCCGTGGCTGTGAAAAACATTTCGTCTATTTTTGTTTTAAATTTTAATATATTTATATCATTTTGTAAAATTTTTCTATATACTATTTTGTACTAGTTTTTGTTGTTTCTAAAGTGCTATAATTTTTATAAAATTGAATTTATAAAATTGAATTCATTTTTACGCATGGATTTCTATACGATTGCGTCGAGCTTCCTGGGATCTCTCTCTTTTACGTTTTTCCCTAAATATTACTTGGAATAATCATATACATTTGAATCGAAACGTTTTACCATCAGCTGAGATTCAGCAGACGCCGGGTTTTTTTAGAAAAATGTATAATTAGTGAAATCATAGGAAAACATTAAAAAAATACATAACGCGAAATAAGTATACGATTGCAAAAAATAAGCAGCTTATTGAAATCGAAAACGTAGCTAACACTCCATAACAAGTACGATAGTCATTTAGTTTTACCGAAAGAAAAGATTAAAATGGCTATTAAATCTTTCTATCTCTTTTTCATCGCCTACAACGCTCGACGTGATGTTTAACATGTGCTCCAACTGATAAGCCAATTTGCGTGTGCAAAGTTCAAATAGAAACTCTTTTTTTAAAAAACCGATAATCCACTGTCGATTTCTAATTTCGAATACTCTGTACTTTTTTTAAACATTAGCGGTTTATTTTTAACATCGTGTCAGTAGTAGTAGCGATATAAATCATATTTTTTTTAAGAATGTTCGCTATTCGAATAGATCGGGGAGTTTCGGCTTTATGGCAAGTCAACCGCGCTACAAAGGTTGATACCGTGAAAAAAAAACAAAAATAATGGTCTCTACTAAATACTTTCGAACTCGATATTTAAATATTTTACAAAATGGACGCTGACGAAGAAATTCATTACAAATATGTCGACAAGACACGTTATTAGTGAACTTTTAAAAAAGTCCAACGCCGTACTGGAGCGCAGTAAAGTCCCATTGGCCGTGCCCGTCGGCTAATTACCACAAAAACTGCGCCCACCCTGGCCGCCTCATTAATCTAAATTGACATGTTATACCATACACGAGTGCGTGTGTTGTTTCAAGAGATCCGTTCCCTTCGCGTCCCGTTAGGTCGGGCGGACTGTTTACGTTGGAGTCGTAATTTATCGATGGCCGTTTAATCCATAATTTAATCGCGACACGCATTTTTCAACATTTCTAATCATACATTGGCCAATACAGTATTTTATCACCAATTCAGAACAAAATCAATTAAAATGTAGTATATAACGTCAGGGCTAATAATTGTTCACTGTTTATTTTCAGATCTATTTAAACACCATACCAACTGGCACATTATAGTTCGTTATAACCTTTGACGTTTGAGGCGCGTAGAACACTAATCATTTTAGTTGCCTGACTATAAGCTTAAACTAAAAGATATGTTAAAAAACAGGGTCAGAAAGGTACAAAAACTCAATACCTGATCTCTAGCAAACCATGATGAAAAAGCGGAAGAATTTTCTGAGATTATTACGAAATAAAACTTTAATAACCATGCGAAAACTTGGAATTGTAACATGAAGATCATATTACATTAAAACATGTAGAAAAAGTACGAAAAGATTGTCGCCGCTGTGTGAATCGAACCCACGTCTTCGGCATTCGCGGCCTGACGCTCTAGCCACTGAGCTAAACGGCTGATAGCCACAGCGATGAAAATCTTAACGCCTTCTTTCTACATTGTTATTTAGCATTTGAAGCAATGCTTGGCGCATCTATTGTTATATCCTTTCCAGCATACAAACAATTTCGAATATCGTTTTACAACGATAATTCGAACGAGAGATGTCGCCATTGCTTTTATAAATTTTTTAAAGTTTTTTATAGTGCTAATCTCTGCACTTAAGATTGAACATTAAAACATGTAGAAAAAGTACGAAAAGATTGTCGCCGCTGTGGGAATCGAACCCACGTCTTCGGCATTCGCGGCCTAATGTTCAATCTTAAGTGCAGAGATTAGCACTATAAAAAACTTTAAAAAATCATATTACATTATCGAGTACATCAATTTCGCAACGTAGATGTAACAAACAAATAAAATTGTTACACACAGTTAACCATTTTGAAAAATTGTAGTTTAGACAGAATAGTGAAATTATTAGGTATTGTATCGTTTTAAAAATTGTGATATAGACATATAAAAGTGACAAGAAATACTTCCAATGCTCGTAGTGCTCATTCATAACATGTCCAATATCCAACGAAGTGCCAAAGCTCACTGGCGGGCAAAGATTAATTCGCGTGCTAATCACAATCTGTCGTTTCTAGCGGTCGCGTATTAGTGTTGTGACAGTGACAAAAATCACGGAGCGCGCGCATCTTGGCGGGAACGCGTCGCTTGTCAATCGTCGGCGCGGGAAACGCATGCGCTATCGACGACAGATAGATGAATGAACGCTATCCAAGTGTTCTCCGAACGCGGCGTTCCCGATTGTCCATGGTACGGTATGTAAGTGCTATTTAACCCTTGATTTCGTTTTAGGAATGCTCTCGCGCGGTGCTGTCTATAGTTAGAGAGCAGCATTGCGAAGTAATAAATGCCAATGCTGTTTCTTGCAAGAAACTATGAAGCATAAATTTGATCACAATATGGTGGTTGTCTGTATGATGTCTGCCTGTTATAGAGATGTTAAGCAATAGGCAATTTCATTTTAATTTTAAGGCATTTTATAGTCATTCATAGCAGGAATTTATCCCACAAAATAGTGTACCTACATCTTCGGTGGCTCAATGACCTTGGTTAGGACCCAATACGAATCTCAACCCAAAACTCATACCACTAATGAAAATAAATATTCTAATATTATTGAAATTTATAATCCAAAATTATTTTTTTTATACATAGAGCTTGCAAGGAAGTCAATGCTGTTCGCAGTTAAATTTTTAAGTGAAATAAGTAAAAACCCACTAACTATTTTAATTTTTTGCACATTGAGATATAGCTTTAAAAATTCTATAACAGATTTATTTTGAAATAATTGAGGTATTTTGGGCATTCATTCAAGAAATCTTCTTTTTTAAACTTTACCAAAGTTTGTCGAGTTAACGTTCGCAAACTTTCTACTACAAATTCATGGTAGAAAATCAAGTGACGTTTTATTTCTGTTCGTGGCTATTTATATACTAAGCAAAAATAAATTCTCTTTTTAATCTAACCCGTTGACATTTTATACAAAGAGAAACAAACAAGAAATATATAACAGAAATCACATTCAGAAGAACCTAAATTAATAATTTCTTGAAAGTCTACAATAATAAAATAGGAAATTAATATATAATATTCAGATTGCTAAAGTATTACTAATTAAGAAACTATTGCTTGATTCTGATAAACTCTATATTCTTTTAAGTAAATTCTTATATATAAATAAATAAGTCTATTTACTATATAAAAGTATCATGTTACATTTTCATAATTCGCTGTGTAGATTTAACACTAACCAAATGACAATTTAGAATAAGTAATGAATACATATCGTGAAGCATTATAGGAAAGAGTTCACAAAAGTAGAGCAAAATTAAGGCTTAATCATAAATTTTGATTTTCAAATAATTACTTATTGTTAAATTATAAAGTCCCCCTTTAATTGGTACCTTTATATTCGTCTTAGAACATTAGCTCACCTAAAAAATAATAAAAACATTTAATTCCGATGCAAATCAATTAAAACCTGTGAATTTAATATCCTTTCAGGATTTGCTGAATATTTTCTGGTTAGCTTGAATTTTAACACAATCTTTATCAACATTCAGCAATCGGTTGATTCTGCCAAAGGACTTTAGGGTGGCGATAGAATCAATAAATATTTCTTTTACAATTCATTACGATATAAGGCATTCAGCCACAGGCGTTTCGTCGGAAGGTGGTCGGCCGAAAAAAAAACAAAAATAGAGAGACAACACACGACCGCAGTCGAACTGACCGTCCATCAGGCGCGGCTGGTGCCACTCGTCCCGCCACTCCTGGCCGTCCATCGCATTCCCCGGCTGCCCGATTCGCCTTTTTCAACGCGACGCGATAAATCAGTTTTCCCGCGCGTTAATCAAGAGTGCGCGCGCGCAGACCGCGGCGCGAGGAGAACGCTTCTGTCGTCGGCGCGTGTCGGCAGCGCCCGCCGCCCTGCGCCGCCCACCGCCCAATCCCGGTGGCGCGGGATTATTTACGCGCGGGGCAGCTCTATGTACCGGCGCGCCGGCCTACCGCGCGCGGTAGGCAGCTCCCGTCAGTGGCGCGATTAGCGCTAATTCGAATTTCGAATTGATTTTACCGCGATGTTTAAACGGGAACGCCATTTTTTTATTTAAAAAGTAGCACGCCAGCAGACGGTTCACTTCATGTTAAATGATGACCGCCGCCTGTAGACGTCTACAACATCAGAGGTGATGGAAATGCGTTGTCAATCTAATGTAAAATGGGACCCCGTTACCAAACTAATCAGACAAAACGTGAAAGGATATAAATAATAATATAACAAACAGACAAACCTTCAAGTATTTCAAGCATTTCTGCAATTTTGTTTTGTCTCAAACGCTGAAGTCGTTTCTCGTTGTTACACATGAGACATCCAAATAACTGTTATTGCGAACCCACTTTCTTACCAGATAGCCAGATAATGGTGGGCTTTATTTTACTAAACTTGAAAATAACTCTTTGGTGTAACATAAGTCCAGTAAAAAAATTATAGAACTACATTTAGACTTATTTATGGTTTATTTATGTATACCGATGTAAACATTGTTTGAAATGTTAACACCATGTTCACACGGTAGATATCTCGATAAATGTCAATTAAAGTAGTCATGGAAATAAAGTGTCGTCATCGAAAAACATTAAACATTACGAGAACAATAAAAAGTAAGAATTAATTAACTGAAAATAATACTGAACCCGTAGTTTCAGCCACGTGAAAATTATGGAATCATAATTTTCACTCAAGTTATATAAATTAAACAGGTAATTATTTTTTATTACTTTAACAAAGTGCCGGGTCTTGTTAGTTTCTTGTATTTAATAGATTTATTTTTCTTAAACATCGGAGTGCCAGCACCGTTTGCTAGACTGGTTCGTACATATAGTAACGTTAAAGATCAACCAAAATAAGAAAGTCTTGTTTGTTCTTGCCTAGTGTGGCGCCAACGGATATCAACAACTTGTAATATTTTTTCCCTTGTCAATAAATATAATTTTCTTGTTTTTATTCATCTTTACTTAGCATTTTGTTTAAAATTTCGCTCCTGAGGAAACCTCTCTGTCACGGTGCCTATAGAAAAGCTAGTCCCGGCGTCTGGACTGTTTGAAATAACTCTCACGCAGATTGTTCGAGAGTCTTCCTCCTTCTACGATCTTTGAACAACTCCTGTTTCCAACAAACACACTCACACACATGTGTCGGCTACCGGCCTTAATGAAGCTTTCTGTTCTCGCCACACCTAAACGCGGCCGAAAGGGCCCCTCCGATAAACGATCGCCGGCGCGGTACAGTTTGTTTTTTCAACGCGTTTTTGGCCAACGCAACCTCTGCTTTACGGCCCGATTCAAACACAGCCCAGCGCGAGACGCTCGGCGGTGATGGCCTCTAAATACCCCACGATCACGGTGTCTGTCCGTCTGTCGGCGCGCGGTGAAAACAAACCGGCAGTTAACTCACTTCTTTGGCGTTAATGTTGTAAGCGGTCGATTATTTATAAACCCCGGCGGGCGCTATTGGTGGGCAGTGTTAGCTTTTTAAAAAACACCAGCGGAGCGGCCCAATCGCTTTCCTGCGTTTCGCGTATTTCGGACACTGTATTGTGATCAGAGCGACTAAGCATATTGCAACATATATGAGAGACAACGGTTCAAGGAAAAAATGAAAAATGAGGAGGAATTTTGGGGGAGGGCCACGGGGTGGCCATGGATCATGCCATCTAATTTACTTAAGGAGTTTGATTACTTCTAAAAAAATTAAATTTTACTGTCATTTTTATTATTCTTAATTATTATTTTGGTATACATTTTCCGAGTTACTTCAGTCGTCCCCAATTTAATCCGCGCCTGCCATGGCTATTTAAGATTCTAAATTGAAATCCGTATTTATATTATAAATATATATATTTTTTTTTTGAATAATTTAAAATAAGTAATGACAAAACCTTAACGTGTTAGTTTCCAACATTTTAGAATATAAGATGTACGCATAAGATCTCTTTATAATAATAATAATAATACGCTCTTGTCGCCATCCCGGGGAGTCGCTACGGCATGTTATCTCCGGTTGTTCCATGCTTTCTAACTCTGAGTATCTGCATAGACACAACCTAGTAGCCAGAATTATACACCAGGAGCTCGCTCTGAAATACGGACTCGTGGAACGGAAACTGCCGTACTACAAGTACTCTCCGGAGGCCGTGCTCGAAAATGACCGCGCCAGGCTCTATTGGGACCGGCCCATCATCACGGACAGGACGATTGTCGCGAACAAACCTGACATCGTGGTGATGGACCGGGCACAGTCGCGGGTATTTTTGGTCGACATTACAATTCCATATGACGAGAACCTCGTGAAAGCCGAAACAGATAAGAAGACGAAGTATCTGGACCTGGCTCACGAGGTGGCCGACATGTGGGGTGGTGTGCCGACCGAAATTATCCCAATAGTCGTGTCTGCGAATGGGTTAATCCCAGTCAGCCTCTCGGAACATCTGAGGCGACTGGGACTCCGGGACGGAACGCTCCAAGCTCAAATGCAGAAGGCGGTGCTCCTCGATACCGCCCGCATCGTCCGCCGGTTTCTCTCCCTCTCACCCTAACCCTCGGCCGTTTGGTCTCCCCTGCCGAGGGCTTCCGTCTGGTTGGGTCCTATTTATTTATGTATTACATGTTATATTTATATCTGTATATTTATTTTTATTCATAATATTTATTTTATAGATGCAATATATATTTATGTGTTTATTATTTATCCCCAAACCCAACCAGACGAGAAAACAAATAAATACCCCCAAAATAATAATAATAATAATAATTGGGACCGGCCCATCATCACGGACAGGACGATTGTCGCGAACAAACCTGATATCGTGGTGATGGACCGGGCACAGTCGCGGGTATTTTTGTTCGACATTACCATTCCATATGACGAAAACCTCGTGAAAGCCGAAACAGATAAGAAGACAAAGTATCTGGACCTGGCTCACGAGGTGACCGACATGTGGGGTGGTGTGCCGACTGAAATTATCCCGATAGTCGTTTCTGCCAATGGGTTAATCCCAGTCAGCCTCTCTAAACATCTGAGGCGACTGGGACTCCGGGACAGATCGCTCCAAGCTTAAATGCAGAAGGCGGTGCTCCTCGATACCGCCCGCATCGTCCGCCGGTTTCTCTCCCTTTCGCCCTAACCCTCGGCCGTTTGGTCTCCCCTGCCGAGGGCTTCCGTCTGGTTGGGTCCTATTTGTATATGTATTATATAAAATATTTATATATATATATATATGTTTATTTTTATCCATAATATTTATTTTATATATGCAATATATATCTATATTTTTATTTTTATTTATAAACCCAACCAGACGAAAAAACAAATGAATATCCCCCTATAATAATAATATACTTTATTGTACACCAAAAAAATCAAAATGAAAAAGTACAAAAAACAAAATATTTAACAAAATATTGGTCATCAAAAGGCGGCCTTATTGCTACATAGCAATTTCTTCCAGGCAACCTCAAAAATTTACCAAAAGGAATTGTTGATGGGTAGGATGTACATGAAGGAAAAAAAAATTATTATACTTTATTTTCTTTTTTAATGTGTACGTCGTAAAATTTTACTCCCATATTTTTTAACAAACGAACCAAAAGGACTATAATTTCAAAAATATTATCATCTTCATCATTTCAGCGTTTTAAAGTACACTGTAATATAGACCACAGACTGCCACTATGCACAATTGAGCCACCTGCATATACAGCGTGTCGTTACCATCGCGACAATAAATGAACACACGTCTAACGCTACTTGCCAAAAATCATAAAAAAATATTAACGTTAAACAAAATCCATAATTAAAAAAATATATTTTTCAAACAAATTAATTAAGTAAAAAGGAAACAAAATTTGTAACATCCTGTACAACTCGCGCCACAGCGGCGTATTACAAACCTCTCCTTCTAACAGTATGTTTGTCTCTTTTAAATTCATTCAACCTATTCATATGCTTTGTGACCTTTACAAATGAACTTTACGTTACGCTTTTATAGGTAAGGGTGTTCTAAAATTCTTTGTTTTGGAAAATTTAATAACTCTGTAAATATTGATGCTTAAAGAATTTAAATGTTTAATACAACTTTAAAAACTTATCCCCTATATGTGTGTTCATTTATTGTCGCGATGGTAACGACACGCTGTATAAAAAAATATTATAAAATTTTACGCAACATAAATAGGTTGGTAACTAAGTGATTGCGGATTTCAACTAAAGGTGTTTCTCAATTCCATTTTTATTATATCCATAAATAAATGTTCTTAAGTAAAGAATATTCCTTTTATTATTTAGCTATCCTTACCTAACTTTAAGAGTTCATTGCGTAGATATTTTCTTAGTTTTTTTTTTTTTTTACCTCAATTTTTTTTAATGTGAAAAGTGAATAAAGCCGCCCATGGACATCTGCTACACACGAGGGTTGCAGGTGCGTTCACAACCTTTTGAAAATTGGGCAATATTAATACGTAGTAGTGATAGGCAATAGTAATCCGGGGCTATCTGTCGAAAAAAAAAGATCCGTGTCCGTATCCGTATCCACTACATTTTTGACGGATCTTTACCTTTATAATCGTAATAGAATTATATTCTAATTAAGTAAATTAATACATTGTGACACGCAAACTGCTAACTTTTGAAAAAAAAAAAGACAGTGAACAATTAAAGGAAACACAGTGACAATTAAAGGAAAATATGAACGGTAAATTGAACTTTAAAAATTAATATGCGGGA